ACGATATATTTCTTAATTTCGGTCGATACAATATAATTCCGATACCGATATGAATACTATTAAAAAAAGCCTCGTAAAAACTACCAAGAACGCCCACAACAGTTGTCTTTCTTACAAACTTATGAAAAATTAATTTGGTAAGTCTGACATCTCATATAAAACCATATAATATTTTAGGGGGGAAAAACAGCACGAATAAATTAATGTTCACCTTTTATTTGTATTTAGCCTTTACACAAACAAGAAATGTGAAATCATTGTCAAATAATCGTCTGGGACTCACCTAATTAATATTAATATCTTTAACTTCAAACTATAGGCTAACATACACTACCAGTCAAAAGATTTTGAACTGTAAGATTTTTAATCTTTTTAAAGAATTCTCTTCTGCTCACCAAGCGTGCATTTATTTGATCCAAAATACAGCAAAAACAGTAACATTTTGAAATATTTTTACTATTTAAAATAACTCTTCTATTTGAAAATATTTTCAAATGCAATTTATTCCTGTGATTTCAAAGCTATATTTTTAGCATCATTACTCCAGTCACATGATCCTTCAGAAATCATTCTAATATGCCGATTTGCTGATTATCAATATTTAAAACAGTTGAGTACATTTTTTTTTCAGGATTCTTTGATGAATAGAAAGATCCAAAGATCAGCATTTATCTGAAATAGAAATCTTTTGTAACATTATAAATGTCTTTATCATTACTTTCGATCAATTTAAAGCATCCTTGCTAAATAAAAGTATTAATTTCTATAATTTCTTTCCAAAGAAAGAAAAAATAAATCATACTGACTCCAAACTTTTGAATGGAATAGTGTATAATGTTACAACACCTTTTTATTTCAGATAAATGCTGATCTTTGGATCTTTCTATTCATCAAAGAATCCTGAAAAAAAAATGTACTCAACTGTTTTAAATATTGATAATCAGCAAATCGGCATATTAGAATGATTTCTGGATCATGTGACACTGAAGACTGGAGTAATGATTCAATGAAAAATTCAGCTTTGATCACAGAAATAAATTATATTTAAAAATATATTCAAATAGAAAGCAGTTATTTTAAATAGTAAAAATATTTCAAAATTTTACTGTTTTGGCTGGATCAAATAAATGCAGGCTTGGTGAGCAGAAGAGAATTCTTAAAGGGGGGTCATATGATGCGATTTAAATTTTTCCTTTCTCTTTGAAGTGTTACAAGCTCTTGGTGCATAAAGAAGATCTGTAAAGTTGCAAAGACTAAAGTCTCAAATCCAAAGAGATATTCTTTATAAAAGTTAAAAGTCAACCACGCCTACCTAAAACGGCTCGTTCTAACACACCCCTAACATCTAACAGAAGATTTGCATAACGCCGCCCAAATGTTCACGCAAAGAAAGAAACTTTTATTCTCGCTGTAGTATTGTTGTTGCCATGTCGTGAAGGCGCTGTGTGTTTCGTTGTGAAAGCGAAACTACTTTGGTTGGTCTTCCAAAAGAGGATGATATTCACTTCGTCATGCCTGGAGATGATCCGTTCTAGTCGCTGAGGAAATACATCAACTTTACGCTGTGGATCGCCGGATCGGCTTTCACCGTGGACGAAGCGGAGTCCAGCCCGGGGTCGTCAAATGTGGTTGCCACAAGCCCGCCGGCCGTTCCTCACTCTAGGCCCTGCCAGCCTCCGCACACTCTAGCTCGCCGTATGTGATGCTGTGTGTTTCGTTGTGAAAGCAAAACTACTTTGTTTGGCCTTCCAAAAGAGGACACGACTAGAAATCAGTGGTTGAGTTGTATTTACAACTTTGCTCCAGAACAGTTCAACCCAAATATTCAGATGTGTCCAGCACATGTTATGGAGGACTGTTTCCTGATCCTAGAAGAGTAGACTACAATGCCGGCTGTTCTGACTCACAGACCTTATAGATTGAAACAAATGTACTTTAGCCAGTATAAAGAGTATGAAAAGTGTTCTGAGTTGCTGCAGAAAAAAAATGAGCTACAACAAAAACTGGAGTTGCTGGAGACGGGCTTATTGAAAATGCAAACTGATTGTCTGCAGGAGGCACTTTGAGAGCGGTAGAACTATTGGTTTCTCCAGTAACGGCTGTAATCAAAGCAGCTCCGCTCATGAATGCTTCTTTATCAGATAAAATGAAAACACCATCGAAACTTTTCTGAAGACAGTCCTTTCCCTTCAGAGATACATTCATATAAAAGACCCGCGACTTGCAGTGCTCATGTTTATTCAACGAAGTCAAACGCCACAAATAAATCAATGTATGAGAAGCACCGGTAATTTATATCGGAAATGTTTAAAAATCATATCACCGTTATTGGAAAAAATTATATTGCTATACATATTGATATTGAATTATTGTCCAAACCTATTCCAGGGTTTTTCAACAAATCCAGCCTGTCAATCATTTTTAATGTTACTTGCCAGTGGATTTTGATTATTTCTGCACTGCCCTGATACACAATAGCATACTATGCATAAAACTCACCGCTCTCACAGCTCTTAGTTGTTGTCAGTTATGGCGCTTTTCCACTGCATGGTACGACTCGGCTCGGTTTGCGTTTCCACTGCAGTTTAGGATTGCTTTAGAGTGGTCGTTATAGTTGCGCCGCCTCTACTGCCGCGACTCCTAAAAAAACTTTTTCATTCCGCGTCGCCCCATCAAGCTCTCGCTGGATCCGCTCCTCTGCTATCAACGAGAGGAACGTCTGTTCTTCCGCAACAGGGGGAACAGCCACTTTTTGGTTGTTAAAAAAGGTGCGCTCGTTCAAAACAGTTGCGTTCGATCCTTCACTGGCTGTGCTGATTTAAATGTAGCGGGTCTGTTTGTGTCTCATGTCGCAAGTTCAGTGACGCAGGTAGTGACGATTCTCTCCGGCCAATCCGTGATCAGCAGAGTTTACACGTCACGTTTTGGTAACGGTACGGTACGCTTGGAACCCCAACCGTGGTGGTACTAAAAAAAGTACCAGGTACTGTACCCAGTGGAAAACCCCCAAAAAGTGAGCCATACCATGCAGTGGAAAAGCACCATTAGTGGACGAAGTCTATGCAGAGGATGTTTAAGGTTTTTCTGGCAATAATGCAGCTACATTACTTTCATACACTTAATTGTGTCTTGACCTATCAATGTGTTTATGCAAATAGTTTACCTGGAAACTAGGAGTGCTCCGATCAGGGTTTTTGAGGCCGATCGCCGATCACAGAAAGCAGTATCTGCCGATACCGATCTTTTTAAAGCCTTCTTTTGATCAATTATAACCCTTTATAGTAGGGCTGGGTATCGTTCAAAATTTTTCCATTACGCTTGGAACCCCAACCGTGGTGGTACTAAAAAAAGTACCAGGTACTGTACCCAGTGGAAAACCCCCAAAAAGTGAGCCGTACCATGCAGTGGAAAAGCGCCATTAGTGGACGAAGTCTGTGCAGAGGATGTTTAAGGTTTTTCTGGCAATAATGCAGCTACATTACTTTCATACACTTAATTGTGTCTTGACCTATCAATGTGTTTATGCAAATAGTTTACCTGGAAACTAGGAGTGCTCCGATCAGGGTTTTTGAGGCCGATCGCCGATCACAGAAAGCAGTATCTGCCGATACCGATCTTTTTAAAGCCTTCTTTTGATCAATTATAACCCTTTATAGTAGGGCTGGGTATCGTTCAAAATTTTTCCATATCGATACCGATACCTTGACTTCGATAACGGTTCCTGAACGATACTTTTTTTTCGATACCAATTTTATGAAATCAATTTTAACAAGATTACATTATCTAAAAAAAAAAAAGGTTTTATTTTTCAGCTTGTTGATGTTTATACAAACTCAAAGGAACGATACTTTTTTTCGATACCAATTTTATGAAATCAATTTTAGCAAGATTACATTATCTAAAAAAAAACTGGTTTTATTTTTCAGCTTGTTGATGTTTATACAAACTCAAAGACTCATCTCCTGAGCCACTGCACAAAGTAACTATGTAACCAACACAATAAATCAGTGCAAAATAGTTTTAATAAAGCTCAAATAGTCTTCAGTTTACACATGTTAGGCTACATTTACACTAGTTATTTTTCGTTTTAAAACGCATAGCTCAGACAGAATCATGATTTCTATTTATTTTCCACTGATTTACTGATGAGCATTAGCGGCTTCCAGCGCTGTCTGCTTGTGCTCTCTCTTCCATGATCACAGCTCTGACTCAGAGGTAATAACATATTAATTTCAGCAACATTACATGGCCAAAACACACATTAGATGGCAGGTCCGGATTTACCTATTTACATTTTTGGGCCCCCTTCCCTATTAATATAATAGACCTAATATTACCACCCAAGCAAACAAAAATATTTCTTAATCAGTGGAAACCGATACAGTGTTTTCTATCGGAATAAGCGCTTGCGTTCAGTCAATAAACATCGAATAGTTCTTCATTTGTTTGAGGACTGAGAAAGACCATTCCATATAGTCGTGGCCACATAACCACCTCCGGGAGTGCATTATTTCTCTAATAATTTTAACGGCCTGGAGTCCCAACCACACGCCAAGACATTGTTCAGATCATTTGTTTCAAGACATTTGAACTGTTTCCGTCCTGAAATCTCGTGTGGGTTGAACTAATTTTTTTACGCACCTCATCCCAAACCTTCCGTTGCAAACCCCAAAACGTCATTTTAGAGCTGATAACAGAGGCTTGAGCCATTGATATGCAGGCTTACGCAGTTATTAATGCAGTCTAACTGTTAGACGGCAATCGGAAGTTATTACAAACACTCGATGGTGGTTTAAAGTGAGTTTTGAGTAAAAGCGGAATATAAATCGTATTTATTGTCTTATGTAGCATGATGCTACAGTGTGCATGAATGGTCACATAAGATGCGCTTTCGGTCATGTAACGTTAGTATGAACGGACATCTGCATATGATCGGAACTCCACGCAGCTCGAACACAGTAGGCTTTAATAATATGCAGTTATGGTGTAATTACTACATTTTCGTGTCAATCAATGTTCATATTTACTGCAAAAAATTAAAGTTACTTTAATTCAGCGCTTGCAGCGCAGCAATTGACTCCGTGCGGAAATGATCTCTGCTCTGTTGCAGACTTCTAGAGCCCACTGCCGGACAGCAACCGTCTGCAGTGAATGCTTTATTAATCTGTTAACATGAGCGCGGAAAAATATGCACCGCATTCGCACTGCAAACGGAGTAATGTGAACCTGGCATTATATGTGTGCGCTGCAGAGTGTGCATGAGTGCAGTCTCCAAGAGAGCGCGTGAGCGCTGAATGGCTAAACACTGGCAAGAATGAAAAAGTAATGCAATTTATAAACTTTAGTGACGATGTGTCACTGCCTCGATTGTGCAAGTGACAATTCCTGTGTCAACTGTGCAGCGTGCAGCTCGCTTATAGACAGACGCGATGTGTGGTGATTTGAAGACATTTGCGTATCTTGAGAGGGAGTGCGCAGGTGATTCACTTATGCTGTTTGTGAAATGACGTCTCACACAAGGTTTTCAAATGAATTTATAAGTTATTTAATTAAAAAATATGAAGGAGTACCTCACCTTCAGCATTATAATTATTTCACCTGCGCCGGACAGAGACTGAGATGGTGCCGCTGCATGTCATGCCAAACAGCTTGTGATCGGTTTTTTGAGATCTGCCTTTTTACAGACCGCCGATCAATCATCCCAAAGCGATTATCGGCCGATAGTGATCGGTAGCTGATCAGTCAGAGCGCCCCTACTGGAAACGAGTATTCAGACACAGACATAAGCCATAGCAAAACGGTAGCTTATGTGCACATTACAAATGTAGATTATTCAGTAAGGCTAAATTTGGTGATGAATACTGAACATGCTTACATGTCACTTAACGTAAAAGTATTAAGCTGTAATTAATCTGTGAAAACAAAAGATAGTTTACGCCCTGTTTACTTCAGAGGTGAGCTGTGTCAATTCTGGGAACACGTTGTCATTTAACAAACAACATTGCACATCTTTACGTTAAAGGGCTGAGTGCAATGTTGATCAGGATTACATTTTTAAATATAATTATTCCTGTGATGGAAAAGCTGAATTTTCAGCAGTAATTACTCCAGTCTTCAATGTCTCATGACTCCTCAGAAATCACTCTTAATATGCTGACTTTGCCCTAGAAACATTTCTTATATTAGTGTTATTAATGTCGTTATTAATTAAAAACTTGATTTTCTTGTCAAAACAATTTTTTTTTAACTAAAAAGTTTTTAAGTATTAATATTTTTACTATCACTTTTGATCAATTTAATGCATCCTTGCTGAATAAGTTACATTTTTCAAAATACTTTCTGATCCTAAGAGTTACTTTACTGCCACCTAGCAGAAAAAAATTCAATTGCTGGCTTAAAGCCCCTTAAATCTGTAAGTGGAAGTGAGGTGTGGCTAAGTATGGTGTCCCATACTTGGAATTTGTGCTTTGCATTTAACTCATCCAAGTGCACACACAGCAGTGAGTAGTGAACAAGCGCACACACACACATCATGAACACACCCCTGGAGCAGTGGGCAGCCATTTTTTGCTGCGGTCCCCAGGGAGCTGTTGGACGTTCAGTACCTTGCACAAGGGTCTCACTTCAGTTGTGGTATTGAGGGTGGAAAAGAGAGCTGGTCATTCACTCCCCCCACTTACAATCCCTGCCGAAACTCAAACCCGTGACCTTTGGGTTACAAGTCTGACTCTTAACCATTAGGCCACGACTGCCCCAATTTACCCTCCATATTCTTGCACATGCAGGTGGATTCACAGAAGAGCAGTTTCACTCCCATCAGCAGCAGCTGGTTCAGCTGCACAAACAGTTACAGCAGCAAGAACTCCAGCAGAACTCAACAGCACCAGAACTGCACACACACCTCCCCGTGAGTATATACGCAGAAAAAATGACTGGCATTATGGGGCTAAACCTCACTCCCATTCTGTTCTGTAATTATGAATTCATAAATAAAAATTATATATATATGTATATATAAAAAAAATAATAAATACATTTTTTAATTAATTTTTTTCCACAGAACACAGTCTCATCTGACTGCATGTCTAAGACTCTGGACTCGGCTAGTGCACACTTTGCTGCCTCTGCTGTGGTCAACAGTCCTAACAATGAAAACAGGCCCCAGATTGCTAGTGTCAATGGTGTCCTTCACAATTCAGGCAAGTGCAACTTCGGGAAGGAAGGGAAATTGAGCAGAGGCATTAAAGGGGTCATATGATGCTGCTAAAAAAAACATTATTTTGTGTATTTAGTGTAATGAAATGTGTTTATGCGGTTTAAGGTTTTCCACATACTGTACATTATTGTTTCTCCTCTATGCCCGCCTTTCTGAAACGTGTTGATTTTTACAAAGTTCATCGGTCTGGAAAGCAAGGTGTGCTCTGATTGACCAGCTATCCAGTGTGTTGTGATTGGCCGAGTACCTCAAGCTTGTGACTGAAATGTTACGTCCCTTACCATATTGTGATGCCTTGTCCCGGCCGGAGAGACGAGACAAAAACATTAAAACCCATTATAAACAAGGCATTTGTTGCATCCAGTGGGGACATAATTACGGATTATAATGACTTATACTGTCTTTTTAAACGTTGCATTGCATCGCGCCACGTAAACATAAAACCATGTCTGCATTTGTGATCGGAGAAATGACAAACAACAAGTGCTACTCTACACTGCTCAAAACTCGCGTTTGAATCATCAGTGGCAAATTCTTTAAATATAAAAAAAACTTACTTGCAGTCTGAGTCAGAACAGCCGGCATTGTAGTCTACTCTCCCAGGATCAGGAAACGGTCCTCCATGAATTGCGCTGGACACATCTGAATATTTGGGTTGAACTGTTCTGGAACAGTGTTGTAAATACAACTTAACCACTGATTTCTAGTCGTGTCCTCTTTTGGAAGGCCAAACAAAGTAGTTTCACTTTCACAACGAAACACACAGCGCCTCTTCACGTCATGGCAACGGCGGCAACAACAATACTACAGCGAGAATAAAAGAATTTGCGTGAACATTTGGGCGGCGTTATGCAAATCTTCCCACATTGTGATGTAGACATGTGGGGGGGGTGTTAGAACGAGCCGTTTTAGGTAGGCGTGGTTGACTCTTAACTTTTATAAAGAATATCTCTTTGGATTTGAGACTTTAGTCTTTGCAACTTTACAGATCTTCTTTATGCACCAAGAGCTTGTAACACTTCAAAGAAAAAGGAAAAATTTTAATCGCATCATATGACCCCTTTAAAATAAACAAGAATCATTGCATGAAAATGTCTGTTTCAGTAGTTCTTGGGAATATTTTAAAATTATAAACTGTTTTATAGAACTTTATGGGGAATAATAGCAAAACTGTTAATGAGACCTAAATTTATTTGGAGACTTGTCAAAATCTTTTTTTGGTGGTTAATTTAAAGAAAGCTGATCATATTTAAATGATTCTTCTGTCTCCTGCAGGAAGCTTTAGACAAGCAAAAATGAACCGTTCTGCACAGAGTGGAGGTGGTGGTGAGTCAGGCTCTTTAGTACGGATGACGAATGCATCTAGCCCACAGCTGCCCGTCCCTCAGTCTCTGCCTCACGGCCACGGCCACGGGCACCTGAGCACTGTATCATTAGCCCACATGCACCACAGTGCACGCCTGTGCGCCCCTTCACCCTCAGCCTTAAAGTTGGCCAGTGTTGCTAGCAGTCTGGACCGGGTAACCAAAGTCACCCCCACTAGTGCCATCGACATTGCCAGGTCGGTACCGAGACACAGCGCTTATTCACTTCAGTTACTTTCCTCTCTTTTTCTTTTTCTTTTTTTGTATTATTATTTTTAGGGGTGGGTGGGGGTGAAAATTAATTTGAATATTTACAATTGTTTAGAATAAAAAATATTAGGGATGTAACGATTAACCGCGAGCCGGTTGAAAATCGATTAAAATATGTGACGATTCATATCGGTTGAGATGCCAAACAAATCGCGATACAATTAGAGTAGGAGTTTATATGAATGTATCTCTGAGGTGAACTGACTATCCTTTCTTTCCATCTTGCCTCTGAACAATGCATATTAATAAAGTAGTGTTCATAAGCACAGCTCTGCTTTGTTCACAGCGGTAACCCAGGAAACACTGTATCATTGCTGTTCATAAGAGCCACCTGCTGGCAGAGAGTGAATCTGCGTCTCATTCAGCTCATCCGCTGTTTCATGCAGATATTTTTATGTATAGTTTCATAAAACTGAAGTCAAACCATTCTGTTTTTGCTTCAAATTTCAAAATTATACAATTTAATTTAGATTAAAAACTGATCATGTTGCATGTATGCAGCAGCAGGATTTGGCACCTGCCCACACTGCCAAAAGTACCAAAAGTTGGTTAATTGACCATGGTGTTGGTGTGCTTGACTGACCAGCAAACTCACTAGATTGTCAAGAGGAAAATGAGAAACAAGAGACCAAAAAATGCAGATGAGCTGAAGGCCACTGACAAACTGGTGGGTTTTTGTTAAATGTGAGCCAAAATCATCACAATTAAAAGATAATATGTAAGTAATTTTTTTTCAGGATTCTTTGAATAGAAAGTTCAAAGAACAGAATTCATCTGAAAAATAACAATAAAAAACTTCAAAATTGTCAATAAAGACATTATGTATATCTAAATTTCAAATACAGAATTAACATTTTAAATTAGTTTAAATAATAATAATAAATCATATGTTTGATTTGTTATTGCAGGGAAAATCACGAACCAGAGAGACTGACTCTCAATGGATTATCAGAGACCACAGTCGCCATGGAGGTCACATAGCCCATCCAAAAACACAAAAGACTTCAGTGCTGAGAGCTGTGCGCGCTTCTACACAGACTTATACCCAATAACAGCATATCAAAATATTAAGAGAAATTTGTCAATATTATAAGTGTACATTTTGTAAAATTGGGAATTATCACTACCTTGTAAAAATAGTATATTTGTATCATTAGTCTGTCATTTCTGTTACTTGAATCCTAGATTGTTTTTTTGTTTTGTTTTTTTGGTCATCATGCTTTTGCACTTGAAAATGCAAGCAAGACAAGTGCATCAGTTCATGTCGGGATCATGAGCATGAATATTGGTCCTGCGTCACTTGTTTTAACTATTTATTTTGCAATGTTTACATTTTTGTATCTCGTACAAATAAATCCAATTCTGTGACCACAAAATGCAGACACAGCTAGTATACCATGCTTTGTGCTTTTTTTCTTTTCAAGAAGGAGAAAACTGAATTTGGTTTCACAGATGTGTACTTTCAGAAGGAGTGATCTTCCCTTGAAATGTCAACCATTTTTAAATGGTTTATTTTCTTGCCTTCCTCTCTTTGTCTTACCAGTGTTAATTCTGGAGACCAATGGCCTCCATCAGAATGTGCTTATGTGAAGCTCCTTGAGAAATCAAGCAGAAGACCTTCAATTTGGCATTTACTCTCTGCTCTTCTGATGGAGTCAGCCGAACCCTCATTTGTATTTAGCCATTGCTGGTTAATCGGTGTGGAAAGAGCTGTTCTGGGCTCTGACTGGTGTTGTATTGAAAGTAAACTCTACAGGTCACAAATACTGTCAGCCATCTTGTTTATGAATGCTGAAATTTATACATCCTCAGTCCAGTGTCTTCAAATAAATTTCCCCTTTTCAAATGGCCTTTTTAATGAAATGAGTGAATCTACTTCCACTGCTGCCAGTCAATTGCATCGAGTTTCCTGTAAATAAGCGCTTGTTTGCAGTTATGATACTTCGGACATGCATGTTTTGTTCTTATGATGTTTAGAGAAAAGTATATAAGGCCTTCTTCGTGCACTTAGTGTGGACATGACAGATCTTTAAAAGTCTTTTTAGCAATTCAGGATGCATTGCTGTAGTCAGTTGATGAGTGAGTGGTGTTTAGTGTGATAAGTTCCTGGTGTTTTTGTCTCTTTTTTTTTTTTAGGATTTAATTTGAAGTTAACAATGCAAGAATGGGCTTTAAACAGCAGAGGGGGCAAGTGAGCTCTTCGAGCCGTATAGACTTGCTCGGCATTGCTGGGAACGCCCACAAAATCGTCATAACCCTTTATGCCGAGGGGGAAGCAAACCATTCGAATTAACGCCCGGAGACCTTGTTAGGCGCTTGAGCTTGACTTTTTGTGATGATTTCGATTGATTTTTGCTTGGTGCAATGCCGAAAATTTGCTGTGTGGCGTCGTGAACCTCTAATAAGTTAAAAAACCCTGATCTGACGATGTATATGACCGATCCACTGCAATGATCTGTCTTTAGTCCCGTCCCCCTGCACCGCAGCCCAGTTCTGATGGGGCTTACAGTAACCCTCCTTCGCATCGCAATCAAATACATCTCACTCCCTGATATTTTGTGCTGTCATAATCTGTTAAAACATTTATTTCATATTATACACAATTCCTTACGGAAATTAGCAATGATATTACTATAGTAAAAGTACAGTAGGCTAACCATGTTTTTTTTTGTGGCGTTTTTATTACCAATTGTAGCCTATAACCACAGTTTTACTACAAATACCATGGTTAGTGTAGCAAAACATGTTTTTACCGTGGTTTAGTTATAGTAACCAATAACCATGTTTTTTTGTATTTTATATACATGTTTTCATGTTCTCTTTATTTTACGGCATGTATTTGTGAAAATGCTTAGGCAGCCGCAGCACACAGAATAACGCTGCGCATTTCAGTGGACCTTAAGTCATTCTTGAGAAGTGGGACAAAACAGGGTGCAAAATTGAAAAAATAAAACCTTGTACTCAAGACAAATGAAACTACATTTATGTATCTTATATGTACTAAGCTATTGAGCTATGCTTTGATACAACCTCCCAACTTTTCTCTTTTTTAACAAAATGTGCTTTTTTACCTTGGACTGTGTAATATAATTTCAGCTTTATCTTTGTGTCATTAAAAAAACAACCTTGCTTTGATAGGAGATATTATTAAGTGTTGCTTTTGATAAAACAAGCTCCTTTTCCATCATTAAAAAAACATTTGTATCATTATTATTGCATATGAATGATTGAACCCTTCTCTGTGGACACTGTTTTAGATGTAGTGAGAAGACAATAAGAAACACAGATTTGGTATAATAATGAGAAAATTAAATTGAAGGTGATAATTGTGTTAAATACATTCTATTATTAATCCCTCATGACATTTAAAATTTAAAATATTTTAATTTTTTAAAGCTAATAGCAGTTACCCTTGCTGGACCTGTTTTGTCCCACGTCTCAAGAATGACTGGTTACCCGTTTTGTCAATGTTAAAAAAAACTTTTTAATATATCAATAAGAAAGTACAACAGACTTTTACTCAAGTCTTTATCACGTTATTAAAATTAAGCAAAACAAAACTACAAATGTTTACTTTCACAAACTGTCTCGTATATGCTTGTGGTAAGCTGGCTCTTGCTCAATGAGGTAACGTAACAAAAAATGTCGGGAAACGACACCTCTGGCCATTCCGTTGGGTCGTTTGTCCAGTCACAGATACCGTACGGACAGTCCGACCCAATACGGCTCAGTTTTTATGCGTATGTTGCTCTGTCGAGCGGCAGAAATGACTTTATGTAGGCCATTCTGAGTCACCATGCTTTTCCAATGAGGGGAAACTACTGTTCAGTGTTGCTAACTGCTTTCATTTTCAATCAACAGTGGGCAAGATGAGAACTTTGATGAGGTTTGTCCAAGAAGTTGCTATATTTGCCCCTAAACTTTTGAAAAAAGTCTCAAAAGGGGCGGGGAAGTTGCAAAATTGGCAACACTGAGTTTCCCCCACGCCGACTCTGCCCACACACACAGCTATGACACAACACCGATCAAGTCTAGTTCGGCTGGCAGGTTCCCCAGAAGTATGACCCGTTTCCTGCCGTTTTTGCTCATGGAGGTCTTTGAGCCAATAACTTGAGCCGTACCTGCTGAAAATCTGGAATCACCTGAAAATGCTATTCTGTCGCAATGCTGATATTCTTACAGTGCCACACCGTCAGGGGAATAAACTATAACTGCTTGCTTATAGTTGTCTTTGCATATTAAGCTGGGATAAGATGAAATATTTTAACATCAGCTTCAACTAATGACCATACACAATGCATATTAACTGTATAAACGATCGTCTGAGCAACCAGGAACCGAATTAGAAGGATATATGATGACCCAAGAACCTTATCACGCCGATATCACATTCCCTCTTTTCCAAACTCTGCTTGCTTTACATTTGACTTACACTACCGTTCAAAAGTTTGGGGTCAGTAAGATTTTTTTAATGTTTTTCAAAAAGACTTATGCTTTTATTTGATTTATTTTGCATTTATTTGAATGCAAAGAACATCTAGAACATATATTAAATCAATGTTGAAAAGTTCTGTAATATTTCTGTGGAAACCATGATTTAGAAAATTCAGGATTGTTGAGAAGAACAGCATTTCTTTGAAATAGAAATAGTTTGTAACATCATAAATGTCTTTACCGTCACTTAGGATACTAAAAAAAGTATTAATTTCTTTAAAAAAAAAATCCACCCCAAATATTTGATTAGTAGTATATACTGACAAACCTAACAAAATATCACATAAGCATGACAAAAACATCGTGTATGATTGTTCTGTTGATTTTTTTGTTTCTTATATGGAGTTTAAAAGCTTGTGTATAAAGACAGAAAGGTGTAAAGTTTAGGATCTTATTTGATCTTATATACAAATTAGCAAAGAACAAAGTCGTTTCAGATTGGAAAATGTATAGTAATTTTAAAGAAAGAGTTCTGTTTGTATGGTTATCCATCTCATTTAAAACGAAATATTTATATTTGCAAATAAAATGCAAATTCAAGAAAACCTCAAATTGTGACGTTATGCATTTTAGCACTGCAACATTGTGATCCACATTATACACTGATTTGCTGAAACTTTGAATAGTATCAAAATTAAGTACAGTAGATGTTGCAAATGTTAAAGATACAGAAAAAAAATCATACATTTTTCAGCAATCTCATGGGAATAAATGATTAATGATTAAATTACTTACTGTCTTAAACTCTTGATTGGACTTCTATATAGGCTAAAATCACTATTGTTAATCACTTATTGCTCTATGTCCTTTTATTAAGTCTAATATTCATAAAGTAGCATAAGACACACATTACATGTATACTCAAACATAATACACCTCTTTGTGCAGAAAAGACCATTTCACATTTTAGATTAAAAAAAAAATGTGAAAAAAAGGCCTACAGTAGAAAAGGTTTTCACTGAATTAAAGGAAGAGCTGAAGAGTTGCTGCTTCGTCAGAGATTCATGTTCTTCATTGCTCACAGATCAAAGTCTCCACAACAAACTTGTTTTCAAAATGGCGGATCTTGTGGCAGTTCAGAGCTTCACGTTTCTGCATACCTGCAGTGGAGCACATTCAGCTTTCAGAAGTTTGAAAGTATGTAAAACCTCAAATGTACTTGTTTATACGGTTAACATGAGAGGAAATAATGTGCGCCTCCTTCACTTATGCACATATTTGAGCTTAAAACTTGAAAACAAGATCCACCGCGAAAGTGGAAAGACGTAACCACCGTTTACTGTAAACAACGTCTTTGGTTTGTTTGTGTACACTTACCCAATATGATGTCTCTGCGCTGGAGTCTGTACGTGTCTTTGTCCTTGCACAGGTCATTGATGTAATAGCCCAGATCACTGGTGCTGTCCAGCCTCTCTGTAACCATCATCTCCTCTCGCATAAGGTACGTCTGAGGAAGATACATTCCTGCCTGCGAAACACACACAGAAAACGTAAACCTAACGTCTGAAATGCATTTGTGTGAAAAATACATCCACGCTAACACAAGAACCACTTATTGACACAAATTCACAGCATCTCCTGTTATTAAATGTGGCTGTTTACCTTGATGTTGACCAGGAACTCTTGGAAATCTCTGGGCGGCATGACGATAGAGGTGTTCAGGGTGATGATGTAGCATCTGTCCAGATTCATGTCGAGATAAGCAGTCAGTTTCTGACAGCACAGAATGACACACAAGGTTATTGACACGGAAACAGACAGATTGTTTAACACTGAGAAAATTATTTTAGAATTATAATGACAGCCGGAACTAAATATTCAAGATTGAGGGAGGACCAAAAGTAAAAATAAAAAAATTAGTTATTGACAAACCCATATTTATTGTCCTGTAATCTAAATATGTCAGCCTATTAGGGTTTTGTGGGGCTTTTTTTTTTTTCTTAAAAAAATTGTGGTGATGTTTGTAGAATTTTTATGTTGTTTGGCAGTGAAAACTAACCAATCATTATTATGTATTGATGTAATTAGTATTTGTGACAATAAGCATACAATAACCGTACAACCATTCAAAAGTTTGGGGCTGGTAAGATGTTTTTAATGCTTTTGAAAGAAGTGTCTTGTGCATTTATTTACTCACAAATACAGTAAAAAATAGTCATGTCAAATAATATTACAATATAAAATTGAATGTTACAATGTCTTTACTGTCAATTTTGATCAATTCAATGCAGCCTTGAGGAATATTATTAAAGAAAAAACAAAAAAACTACTTGTTAACCCCCCCCCCCTCCCCCCCCACACACCTATCC